CAAGCTCAGAGAGCACCAAGGACCCCACAGTCTTCCTCCTCCTCCTCCTGCTCCTCTTCCTCCTCCCCCCCCCATCTCTTCTAGCACTGATGTTATCTAGTTGGGTAATGAAACGTCTGCAAGAAAATCACCAAGCTCAGGGAGCCCCCTAGGGCCCCTCATTTCAACCCTGCGCTACAAATATTCCTCTTTTTATCGATTTGCCTTCGAATTCATGCCTGCGCTGCTTGACGTCCTGCCGCCCCTGTTCCCTCTCCAGGTGCAGGACATCGCATTCAGCCACGACTGCCGGTGGGTGGCGGTCAGTACCCTCCGAGGCACCTCCCACGTCTTCCCCATCAACCCCTACGGCGGGCAGCCCTGCGTACGGACTCACCTGTCGCCCCGGGTCGTGAACCGCATGAGCCGCTTCCAGAAGAGCGCAGGGCTGGAGGAGATCGAGCAAGAGCTGACCACCAAACAAGGAGGGCGCTGCAGTCCCGTGCCGGGCCTTTCCAGCAGTCCGTCTGGTTCCCCTCTCCACGGTAAGCCTCCCTTTGAAAACAGATGCGAAAGTTTCCTTCATTTGTTTGTTTGTTTAAAGTTATGATGGCCGCCCACTCCTACAGATTCTGGGCAGCTTAACCAAGGCAAACCCAAAACCATAACAGTGACACAAAACAAAAACATGCTACCCCAAAGTCAACCCAGATTAAAACAATCAAGGGTCCACCAACCAAGCAAGACCGGAGACCAAAATGATGTCTTTAAGTATAGGTAGTACTTAAGTACAGGTAATATGCACATACTCATTTTGCAATTTTACATACCAATATTAATCAGAATAGACCTGGAAGGGACCTTGGAGGTCTTTTAGTCCAACCTCCTGCTCCAGCAGGAAACCCTATACCATTTCGGACAAGTGGCTGTCCAGTCTCCTCCTAAAAGCCTCTCTGGCTTTGAACTTCCTGGGGCATAGAAGGAGTATTCTGATTGGTTGCTGTCAGAGGTCATAGCTAGCTTTGTAGGTTGTCTGTGTGCTAAGTTTGGTTGAAACTTGGTGGGTGGTGCAATGAAGGGCAATGAAATGGCTCTGCTCGAAGGAGGTAGATCTTTGTTATGTAGAATAGACTAACCCAGGCCTAAATGGCCCTTTCCCAAAAGGCGGCGGGGGGGGGGGCTGAGTTTCTGCCTCTCTGAGTTTCTACTTCTCTTTTAGGGGAAATATTCTGCCTTTTTAGCATATCCTAAAATATATCATTTCTCTAGGAGAGGGATGGGTTTTAACTTCCAACAAAAGGAAAATATATAATAAAAATAATTTAAAAAAGTTAAAATTAGAAAAACAATTGAATAAAAAAAAAGCTAATTGAAGTGGACGAAGAACCTCAGGTTCTTTTGTCCAACTAGATCGAAGTTCGCTTAGGAAATGTAGATGTTCTTAATAGATGCCATTAAACATTAATTTGCCATCCATAAAATAGATAATCGAGAGCCTGCTCTTAGATTTTATTTTATTGGCCGCTTTGTTAGCATGTTTGAGGTGGTTACCTCATAGTCATATTGCTTGCCAGTCAAAGATGGATGTTTAAGCGACTTCCTGTAAATAAAGGTGCCTCGTTTTGCAAGGAGACTTGAAAGACAATTCAAAGAAAAAGACGGAACGCAAAGGACCAGTTGGATCTGTTCAGTCGTTCTTATCGTTATTCCTGGACTGCTTTCAGAATAGTGTGATTGAACAATGGGACTATTTCTGGATAGCTTTGGTTGAATGCAGCCACTTGCTCGAGAATTATCATTCCACTTCAAGTACCGTAAGCCAAGGCTATATATAAATTGTGCCAAGATACAGGATTTCCCATTTATATACTTTATTCTGCCTTTTGCTATTTGTGGAGAAGGACAACAATAGCTACAGGGATTCCTCTCTTACCCCTATAATATATACATATTCTGTTATTTAACTTTACTGTTAAATAATTTCTCTCCGCTTCCTCTCTTTTTCAAATGTTGGATTGCTAACACAAGGACCTGCTGTTTGTCCTAATGTGCCATGTATATTATTAATAAAATAAAATAAAAATAGATTCTGGTTGGTTAAACAAACTGGTTCGCTTGCAAAACATGGTGTTTTTTGTTTTTTGTTTGTTCTGGCATAAGTGTCTATGGAGCTTCTCAGTCCTCCAGGTCATGGCTGTCCCAAAGGTGCTTTTGTTTTCTCAAGAGGCAACTGGACTTTTTGGTTTTTCTTTCAAGATGTTTCGCTTCTCATCCAAGAAGCTTCTTCAGCTCTGACTGGATGGTGGGAAATGAAACGTGGGGAGCGAAATGAAAGTCCAGTTGCCTCTTTAAGAAAAAGCACCTTTGGGATGTTCTGGGATAAGCTTTGTAGACTAGAATCCACTATAGCAGATGGATGAAATGGTATTTTCATTTGGGAAAAGAGAGAGAGAAAGAGAGAGAGAGAGTGGTGGGAAGGAAGGAGGGAGGGAGGAAGGAAGGAGGGAGGGAGGGAGGGAAAGTGGGTGAGAGAAAGAGAGATAAGAAGAAAGAGAGAAAGAGGGATAGAAACAGGAAGGAGCAGAGAGAAAGAGAAAGACAGAGAGAGGAAGAGAGAGACAGAGAAGAAAGGTACTCTAACAATGATGAAGAAGAAATATGCCTAGGTTTCCAAAATGTAAGCACAAAGTATTGTGAACACCAGACCGAGGACGAAGCACAATTTAAAATCCAGGTCCAACCAGTCATTTCTGATGCCGAGAACAAAATTGACTCCATTCAGCTAACTTCATTCCATGAGTCTAATCACTTTGCTGAGCTATTTGTACTATTTGTAGTTTGTCGATGAATGTTGTCCTTCAAGTAACCTCATGGCCATCTTTATATTCAGTTTTACATCCCCGGAGCTGAAGCGGTTTACCGTTTCCTTCTTCCAGTACAGGAATCCCCAAACGTGGCAACTTTAAGACTTGTGGACTTCAACTCACAGAATTCTCCAGCCAGCACAGCTGGCTGGAGAATTCTGTGAGTTGAAGTCCACTAGTCTTAAAGTTGCCAAGTTTGGAGACCTCTGTTCTAGTATGACTGCTGCCTTCCAGTCTAGCTGAAAGCTCTCGGTTGCCTTTCACCCAGGTATTAACCAAATCTGAAATGCTTTTTGCTTCTAAAATCAGTGAAGTCACCTTGTTTAGAATAACAGAGTTGGAAGGGACCTTGGAGGTCTTCTACTCCAACCCCCTGCTTAGGCAGGGAACCCGACACCACTTCAGGCAAAGGGTTGTCTAATCTCTTCTTAAAAACTTCCAGTGTTGGATCATTTACAACCTTGGAGGCTGCTGCTTAAATGGGCTGGACCTTAAGTTTTACTATTAGAAAACAGACCCCCCAAATCTGTTTGTTCCTTAGATGGCCTCTTTCTTGTTGTCCAAAAACTTTTTGATCCTCAAAACTTACACGTTAAAAGTATCAGCAGCAGCGGAGGCTGCATTGTTTTTGACGTATTAAAGGAGTCAACGGATCCCTTTTCAAGGTAATTAAACAAGCTCTCCGTTCTCTGGTTTATCCCAAATAGTCTTTACAATTGATTACAGCCCTCAAATTCAGTCCTCAAAGTGTGACATACTTGAAACAGGCAGAAGGTTATTTTAACACATCCAGTAATTTTTTAGTCCTGACATCATAGTGGACAGAGGGGAGGGATCAGTGTCTTCAGCTTTCATCCATGGTGGGGTCTGCTTTCCATCAAGGGGAAGTACAGTAAGTTGTTGCCTTTATTGGTTTTCCAAACACTTTGTAAACAGATGTAATCCTTGGATACTGAAGACTTGACTGAGAAGGTTTTGTTTGGGTTTGATTAACGTGATCCAACATTTCAGGGGTGGAATGAGGGCCCTTGCAAAATCGGTAGAAGCTATGCAAGAAGACAGTTCATAGACTGTGTCATTGGAAGGGGCCTTTAAGACAAAGTAAGGTTCTACATTAGGCAAGAAAAACCAAATGTACAGGTACAGTATAGGTGGTACCTTGCTCAATAGTGGTAACTGCGAGAGGGATCTTGGAGTCCTAGTGGACAATCACTTGAATAGGAGCCAGCCGTGTGCAGCAGCTGCCAAAAAAGCCAATGCAGTTCTAGGCTGCATTAACAGAGGGTCACGTGAAGTGTTAAAGTGGTATAATGCCTTGGCAAGGCCACACTTGGAATACGGCATCCAGTTTTGGTTGCCATGATGTAAAAGAGATGTTGAGACTCTGGAAAGAGTGCAGAAAAGAGCAACAAAGAGGATTAGGGGACTGGAGGCTAAAACATATAAAGAACGGTTGCTGGAATTGGGTATGTCCAATGAAAAGAAGGACTAGGGGTGACATAATAGCAGTCTTCCAATATTTGAGGGGCTGCCCCAAAGAAGAGGGAGTCAAGCTATTCTCCAAAGCACCTGAAGGCAGGACAAGAAGCAATGGGTGGAAACTAATCAAGGAGAGAAGCAACCTAGAACTAGGGAGACATTTCCTGACAGTTTGAACAATTAATCAGTGAAAGAACTTGCCTCCAGATGTTGAAAACGTTCCAACACTGGAAGTTTTTAAGAAGAGACTGGACAACCATTTGTCTGAGTTTCCACACATATATCCAGTCAGTGCAAGAATCCAAGTTAAAATATTCCCTACAAAAAGCAATCTCACTTAGACTTATATACCACTTCACAGGGCTTTACAGCCCCTTCTAAGTGGTTTACAGAGTCAGCATATGGTCCCCAATAATCTGCGTCCTCATTTTACCGACCGATTTACTGTTCCAAATATCGGAACACTGCTATCATGTCAGCCCTGGTCCTTCTTTCCACTAGACTAGACCTACCCAGTCCCAGCAACCTTTCTTCATATGTTTTAGCCTCCAGTCCCCTAATCATCTTGGTTGCTCTTCTCTGCACTCTTTCCAGAGTCTCAACATCTTTTTTTTTTAATAATATGGTGACCAAAACTGGTTCAGTGGAGGTCCTAGGTTAAGAGATCCAAGGACCATCAAGAGACGATCAGGCTAGTTTAACCGTGAGATATAAATAGTGTAAAGAAATCGAAAATGGATAAATGATTCTTGGTCTTCACCAAAATTACTGTTAGCTGCTTTTGGAAACAGGATGCCGGACAGGATGTCTCCAGTACCAGAGAAGATCCATTAAGGGCAATTTTCAAGTTCCTATTGCTCATGGATGTGAGGAGTGGAGCCTCCATGTTCAGCGGTTATATAGCTGTAATGCTGATTGCTGATGCCCAAAGGAAACCTTTGTCTTCCTGCCCTGGATGTGTTCTTCCTGGAGGCATTTGGTTCCCATTCTGGGAAACAGGATGTTGGACAGCTGTTTTGTGTCCCGAGACTCGGAAGAGCTGCTGGCCTTTTGCCCATCAGAGGTTGGGCTGACGCCGAGTCGCCTTGCCATTCCAACTTAAGTCTTGGATCCCAAGAACCATGATCTCAAGACCCAGTCAGGATGTTCCTATGATGTTTTCTTCTCCCTCCACCTTCTTCCTTTTGTCTTCTGGGCGCATT